GCAGTACATCAAACCTGACAGAGTACAGTGAGGTTCACAGGTGGGATGGGTTTATAATGTATCAATCTATGAGACAGGGTGCGGTGGGAATGATCAGGAGACACGACGGGTGTGCGCGCATGATGTAGCAGCTCCGGTCTGGCTGGGGGAGGGCTCATTGCCGTGGCTGGGTGCAAACTGCTTGTGCCCCTGGTTGGCAGCTGGCTGCTGGGTCAGCGGCGCCTGGTGCTGCGCCTTGCGCATTGGGGGGAACAGGCGGTATACGAGGCGTCGTGGTCAAACAACCTAAAGTCTTTCACAGGTTCGTGAAAGTTCCAGGTGTCCTCAGGCGGGTGACGCCCGTGGCTGCGTTTTCGCCCTGGCAAGCATTCTATGCGCACCTCGCATTCATTTGTGCACCGGCCCCGTGCCGTCGTACCTGGCGCTCGGCGGCTGGGCCACCCTTGACCTTTGCTGCTGCTCTGCGCTATCCCTTGACTGAAATCTCAGGGGCAGGGACCTGTCACTGCACACGCTCTACCCCGAGACGTCACAATACATTACGGGCGCGGCATGGCAGGGCGGCGGCGGCGGCGCGAGGCGGGGGTCTGCGAGCGCGTGGCGCGGGCGCGGGCGGAGGCTCCGGGACGAGGGGGCAGACGACGAGTAGACGGATGCGTGAGGCGGTGGTAGCTGGTAACAGTGGTCCAGCAGGCTTGCTGGCCTGCTGGACCACTGTTTGCGGGGCGGTGGTAGCTGTGGCTCGCGTGGCATGCGCCAAATTACTGCTGTGGCTTGGCTTTAGGGCTGGAGGGGGGCTCCATGACCTTTGACCATCTTTGACTGCGTTGATGAATGCTTGTGTTTGCAAGGCTGTGACGGCAGTGTTGAAGCTGGCTGATCAGGATGCAAATGCACGCTGAATTGATGTTGCAACAACATCAACGTCCACACGGATTGACTCGCATGCAAACGGTGTAGCCGGTCGCCCGCAATGTTCTTATGCGAACCTCGGAGACAGGTGCAAGGGTCCGAAAGGGATTCTCAATGACCTGGCCTGGCTGTGCGTGCGGCGACAGCGGCGCCCTGCCCCAGTCGCATCACTCCCCGCCCCCGCCTGTGTGTCATGCAGCCGGCAGCCACAGGCTGTGCAGTATGTGCTCATCAAAATCGTCAAAAGATACATAGCGGTCATTGCGGCCGATATTGAAGTATTGGTTTGTCGGGTTCGCAGCGCAGTGGCAGATCAAATGATCAAAGCTAGTGCAATCGCGTCCGGCATAATTTCTGGACAAGCCTGAGTACTAGATATCCCCCTGGTATAATCGGGGCTACGCATAGGCACATGGTGCTGGGCCGATATCTGTCGCGTGCCGTGCGTGCTGCGCGCGCCCACGCCAAGCCCCTTGCTGCTTGCCTTCCATGCAAGCAGAAACAACAGTGCTTGACAATGTGTTTTGTCTGGGCTGCGTCTGGTGTCTGGTGTGCGGTCTCGCACACAACCCCCTTGCCCAGCTGTCACGTGTGCGCCACGCAAACCAGGTCCGCCGCACCGCCATGGGGCGCCGCAAGCGCGATGATGGCGACGACAGAGCCCACCTCAAGATGTGCCTTGCCCTGGGGGTGACTCCTGGTGACGAAAGCCACGACCTCGACTGCCTCAGGCCACCCAAGAAAGCCAAGCGCAGGCAGCTCGCCGAGCCGCGGCCGCCGGGCGCAAGCGCGGACGAGCCCGACAAGCGGCTTGGGCCCGACGGCTCAATAGTCAGGTGTTAAGGGGAGGCGCAAGCGGCCCTGGGGCCCCCGACTACCTGTGTGGGTGCTGGACCACCCGCATGATGTGGCGAGCGTGCGGCACGCGTCCCCCCGCATGGTGACGGCCTGTCCTGATGAGGCTGCAGAAACCCAGCAACGCTGACATGCAGCAAGCACCCGCATCACTGCACAACATATGCGGCCCACTGCCGGTGTGGCAGGTGGAGGTCCCAGGCTCCCAAGGCTGTGAGGGCGCGCATGGAGCGGGTGCTAGGCACGGGTGCGCCGTGCACGGCTCGCGCATAGGCATGATTTGCAGTGGGGTCCGCCCCAGACTGGCTGTGCTGTGCAGCGCAGCAGTAGTTCTCCACAGCCTGTGCAAACACAGACTGTGTCACCCTCGCCTAATTAATCATTTTGACGTCGCGGCCCACATCTCCACCTACTCATGTACCCTGTTCTTACCTGCAGAGGCCCAGCCCCCCCATGTCCTGCTCCTGATCTCTGAGAAGGATCTGGAATTGCCGGGCCCCGCACAGGCGCGCCAGTTTGTCGTGCTGGGCGCAACCGGGCTTGGTGAGCACCGCATGCGCGGCGCTGCCTGCGCGATGGCGGCGCTCCGCCACCTCCGCACGAAGGCGCACCGCCCGTCAACGCCGTGCGTCGTGTCATTGGTGCAGTCTCTGGTGGCGCCTGGCAGCAGCACCCTCCTGCTGTGCTTGCAACATGTCCCTGCACGCATCGTGATACCCCTTCTGCGTGCACTCCGCTGCCCTTCGCCCCACCAGCCTACAAGGTGGTCATCAGCCGCACTCCTTGGTGCACCTGCCCTGACTTTCAGAACGTGAGGCACGCGCTAGGGTGGCGATGATGCGGCCAGCAAATTGCTTTCACTATTGCCAGCTTTGCCACCACAGGTGTGCAGTGCGCTCAGCAGCTCGTCTGGGGGGTGATGATGGTGTTTGTTGTTGCAATGGCTTTCTGTACAGCCTCAGCGGCAGTGCAGCTG